AATTTCGTTAACATTCGCTTACTAATTAAAAGTTATAGCATGAAAACTATAACAAGCACATAATGGTTACGAGGTCGGTCTCAGGGACCGAGCCCGTGCTGGATAAGTTAATAAGTAGAAAACAATATCAAAATATCACTCAGTTTTAGAGTTTTGCAGTTAGTGAAATTTGTTACCTTACCGATCATTGGGCTCATTAATTGATTACACTCAAATGATTATTCTCACGAAACTATGATAATTAGAATCAATAAAACAGTAATATTCCCAATTGTTTGATTAGTTTTATGATATTAATCCAAGCTCAGAGGTAAAACTCTACAAGTTTCACTTGTTTCAATAATCCACTGAAATAACATGGAAGTTTTGACTAATAAACTGACTACTAAGATTATAGCTACCTCTCTTCAATAAGTCCAATATAAATCTCTCTTAGTTTCAATGTAAAGCAGTGAACAAAAGCACCTATTTAACTATAAGCATTCTGAACTGCTTAGCCTGCAACACCTTGTTTTACTGACATGTCACTATAATTGTTCAACTCAGAATACACACTGCTCTCATCTCCTTTTCTTTTAAAAAAGGTCTATAATCCTCTCTGACATAGTTAATGGACCTGTTAATAACCAATAAAGAGATCATATTCTGAACTACATAAATTTGATAAGTTTCTGTTTTGTTTTACTAATCAAAGTCAATACTTTTCATGCAGAAAACTTGATGTGCTTAAACATAAGATGTTGCTTCGAGTAGTAACAGAATTCTAGTAACCTACTTAAAGGTTAATTAGAAAGCCTGATAAGTTATAGTACTTTGAGGCATTCTATTCTAGTGCTTACTAATCCATGCACCCAACTGCAAAAGGCCCCAAGGATAAAGTAAGTGTTAAATTTCCTTTCACGCATATTTTTTATTTATTGTTATAAATTTTTTCAAAAGCAGCTAAAATGTAAAAATTAGAAACTTATTACGTTAGGTATAAAAACTTAAATGGAAAATATATAAATATATATTTCTCGTGATCTCTCTTTGAGGAATGCATGTGGGCTGCCATCACGTGATGCAACTTGATAGTTTGTTTGCACTAAACTCTTGCCGAGTGATTCATTGCTTTGTTATGCTAATAAAACGATTATCAAAAATCTGATTTTTTTGTACCATATACTTGTTATATTTACTAAAAGCTTGCCATACTTTGTGAAGATACACTTAGTATATTCAAAGTTATAGTATGTGTCATTTAATGGTTGTAACATGTTCGGTCAAATGACCTGTTGGCATAAGATTAAATGTCAATGCTATTTTGGTACAAATTTGCATTCTGACGATGCTACACTTATTCATTTTATTTGTTTATGCATGTTTCATGAAGTTTTTTGGGTTTAGTTTGTCAATTAGGAAAACAATTTATATATCATTGAAATTTTCCTTTTTTTACATTTCAAACTTAAATAAATTATATCATTAAAACTTCATTATTCATATATTTATCACATTTTATGTTTGATATGAAGTCAATACAGCCAATAAACAATACTGATTTAAAAAAATTTAAAACCGTAAGTGTATTCTTAAAAGCTACAAAAAGTGAGAAACCTCCTAAGAAAAATGAACAAAAATTGATCATAGAAATGTACAATTTTTAAGCTCCAATGCACTTATAAATAATATGTAAAAGAGACTTTATATGTAAGACTCATGGATGCCAAAATACAGTCCATTGGAGTAGTAGTTTCTAAGTCCTCAGATTTAATTTATGTATAAGGCTGTTTCATTCTTCACATCCATGTTTCAAACTCTCCTCACAGTAATTTGTCATATTCTCATAGTTTATACACTCAAGTGATATCCAATTCTGTTATCTCAATAGCATTTCTTTTTAAATTATGAATTTTGTATTTTATCACTTTTTAAAATTTTTACTTAGTTTGCATAACATTTAACTATTATTTCATTACATTACTCTGTAATAATTGTACATGCTCACTGGTGGCCTTCCCTGTAGACAGTAGTTCAAAATTAAAAACAACTACATCTCAACCTGGCCATTTAGCCATGTGTTACATAAAATATTCTGGTTTAAATACAAAATGCTCATAATCTTTATTTCTTGTTGATGACAAATTAATAAAAATAACATAATAGGAAAAGAATTCTTGGTATATAGCATTATGTATTTTTTCTTGATGAAAACAGTTACAAAATTCACTGTTTAAGTTTAATTAAATATCATGAATTTTTAAGACAAACATCAATAAAATACTAAAATTGTATCATTTATACATATTTCTTCTGACCATCACAAAGTAATATAAGCATTATTTTTGTAGAATAAAAGTATTTTCTCACTTTGCATTATATTACCAAATACCATCAAAAACAAGTAACTCAGGCTCATAAGCTGTGCCAATATAATAACTTATTAGCAAAAAACTTCAGAAACTTTGAGACTGTAGCACGATCAAAGTTTACCAAGTTCCTTGTAGTCATGGCTAAAGCTTCACTGTACAATGCCATATGTTAAAACTTGATATTTTTGATAAAAAATAACCTATACTGTCTGTTTAGGTTACTCTGGTGTGACTTTTGAACTTCATTCAGTTTCAAATTCTGGTAGAAATTAGGGGATCTTACTAAAGAACTGTCAGAAATTGTAAAGAAACATTAATAAAACAATCTTACATGTCACTGCTCAAACAACCTTTATCATTAATATTATATTCAAATTTTATATGTTTGTTTTCCATGGCTCCCATAGTCTATGAATCTCACCATAACCAGGAAGGCTCATGTACATGTCTTGATGATGTAGATGAACCTGTATCAACCTTACTCTTTAATGATTTAATATGAAGCAAGTAACCACATTTGCAGCTAAGACATCATACCTAATTTTCCTGTACTGTATATGCAGCAACAAATACAACTTATTGACAGTTACAATATTTCCTTACAGATTTCGTAGTGCTTGGTAATAAATAAGTAATGGGTTTTGGCCCATAATATATCATAAATTTATGAATTATAGCTTCTTAACCTTGTCCCTTTTTCTTTCTTTATGGTTCTTAACGTGGGTTAGTCGTGGAGTATGGTAGTGCCAATGGTGTTACTGTTAGTACCATTAGTATTACTAATACTAGTTACTGAGTTAGGGAAGATAGTATCTGGTTTTACTATATACTATTATTAGTATTACTAAATAGTAAACTACTAATACTAGTAACAATAACGTGTAAAGCAAAGATTACACACTATTTAGAGTTAGCAATATTATCAATAACTTAGTGATTAACTCACAAGTTTTACTATTATTATCAAACTTAAAGTAGTGCTAGTAGTATTTATCACTAGTACCAACAACAGTAAACTAATGAAAAATATATAACATGATTAAAGATAAAGAATTTCAGCAAGTGAAAAATTACCTATCAATTTTCCCAGCATGAAAAATACCATAACGTAAATCCATTAAATTATTATTCTTCGTTTATTACATTCACGAAATAGGCTTATTGTACACTAAACGTACTGTGGCGCGACATACTAACTATTTAAAATACAAGGGAACATTTAAAATAAAAATATATGTCTTCTCTATTTTTTCACGTTTTATCTGTATTTTTTATTAGGGAAAAGTATAAGTAGAAATAATGAACTTTATTATATTTGTACAGAAGATAAATCGCGTATTTTTTATATTTGTACGACTTCTTTACAAATGTTTTAACCGATTATATATATTAAAGCGCGTATGTGATATAGAAATCAAAAGAAAGAAACTTTAAACTGAATTTAGTGGTAACTAAAATATATTATTTCCTACAATTACTTAGATTCTTAGATGATGACGACATGTAGTTTTTAACACTTAAGTAAATATCGATACCCGGGGTGAGCAGAGCACAAATAGCTCAATGTGTAGCTTTGTACTTAACTATAAACAAATATCATCTTCTTGAGAATTAAAGACACTACAATATTGATTGATTTTTTTGGGTCCTTTATTTAAGTTCTAAAAATTACCTCTTTTCTATGTTTTAATACATCAGGAAAGTAAAATTATTAATTTTATTATTATACGGTTATGGAGTTTTCTATATATATATATGTTACGTCTCCGTTCGTTAGTTGATTTTCCGTAACTTCGTTCCGACGAAACTTTAGCGACACAAGTCCTTACTTAATAAAACTGGTTTATTATTTCTGAATATAACTTTACCGATACACTTATTTTCAACAGTCGCACTATAACAAACGCTATAACAACGAACGTTAACTTCAACAATACTTTCTGACTGCAGTTCAATTACTCACTACCTACACACACATTGTCACGTCACGTTGTGAGCGTCTTATTTATATACCAGAAAAACATATATCTAGTAAATGCTAGGGCATTCACGAAGGAACAAGATACTTCTAGAAAATAGGTGGCGTGACAACAGTCACGTGACCTCGCTGACGCAACATATATATATTTAAATCATTAGTCCTAGCATTGAAACTTATCTAGTATGAAGAATTCAATATTTCAATAACCATTGAACTCTTCCATAATCAGTAAACCGCTGCATGTATAATGCCATATACATGATTTTTGATAGAGAGTCATATTGAAGAATATTGATAGATAATCACATTGAAGAATTGGTGGAAAATCAAGCTAATGGTTTAACTATTCTCATAGTATGACTAACTTAGGTATGGAAACGTCTCTTTCTTTTAAAAATATATATATATATATTAATTCTTAAAATAACCGTGTAATGTAGTAATGTTTAGCATTTTTATCATATTTTGGCATCCATTACTGTCTGTTCGGAAAATGTTTTTGTTTTCTTACTACATAGCTATGCAATTTTAACGTTAGAAATTCATATTTGCCGCTGATTCATCTGAGGACTTCAAAGAATAAAGCCCGGCATGACCAGGTGGTTAGGGCGCTCGACTCGCAATCTGCGGGTCGCGGGTTCGAATCCCAGTCTCACCAAACATGCTCGCCCTTTCAGCCGTGGGGGCGTTATAATTTGACGGTCATTCTCACTATTCGTTGTTAAAAGAGTATCCCAAGAGCTGGCGGTGGGTAGTGATGACTAGCTACCTTCCCTCTAGTTTTACACTGCTAAATTGGGGATGTCTAGCACAAATAGCCCTCGTGTAGCTTTGCGCGAAATCCAAAAAACAAACAAATTGTCCTTACTTTTGATGGATTTATTGGAAGATGGGATAGGTTTCCTAACCAACGTTTTATTGTTCTGTATATTTCATGCATATTTTGGCTTACCTTGTAATCCTCAATTTCTGAATATTTCTTGTTCAGATATTCATCCTTTGCTTGACTACACAAACACTATATATTTTATCTACTCTATATTTCTGTCAGCCCTTTTGATAATTGTCTTCTTTTTTTTCCATAATCCCGGTCATTCAACCATTTGTTTTTACCCATTGGCATTTATCATCCTTATTCGCAAGTTCTTTTTATTAATATTTGAAATCGGTTTTTAGTCTCTATCAGAAAATCATTGGCTTTTTTTTTATCATTCGATGCCATTTTGCCCAGCATGAAATATCTCTGTTCAGCTTCTTCAGTTTTAATCTTACTTGCCTTATCAGTAGGTTTTGTTCAGAGCCACTGTCTGTTTCTAGATTAGTTCTAATTATTGAATAGGGTTTCTGAAATATTCCTTTCAATAATGATGTAGTCTATCTGATAATTCTCACATTCTTTCACCATCCTGTGATGACCTCCAAGTATACAACTACCTAGAATGATGTACCAAGTATTGCTTATCACTAAGCCTCTCTCTTCACAAAACCGTACTAATCTATCTACTCTTTCTTTCCATTCTCCAAGGCCATGTGGTCCAACTAGTACACTTTGCGTCAATCATCCACAACTGTCAAATACGCTTCTGACTTCACTGCCTCCAAAGCTTCTTCAACATATTGATACAAGCTTTCGATTCCCTCTTTCTCACTAGCACATGTAGGCAAATAAACTTGGATAATACCTAAATTATAGGGTTTGCCAAAACGTGACTAATGTTACCATATCCGAAATAAGCCAGAAGCTTTTTATACAATTGCTTAATTCCTCTTTCACTGGCAGAACTAGTCCTCTGTGATATTCATCAATTTCTGAATATTTATATTTACAGCCTTCACTCATAAGAGTCCCTGAACCAGTCCATCTAATCTCACTTATCCCTAGGATATCACACATTAATATTTCCATCTGTTGTCATACATTGTTCAAACTTTCAGTTCTATACAGTCTTCTCATGTTCCACGTTCCTACTTCATGTTGATTTTCATCTTCACTTTAGGTTCCCTGTTACTGTTTTTACAGTTCCCACCATCAAAACTGTGGGGACCCATAGGAGTAGATCTTACAGATTCCACTACTTACTGGAACATCAGAACCATCTCTGACAGCATGCATTACGACAGACTTTCCAATGGTCCTACTGCGAATATCTTTGCTATGTCATTAAAACTTCCCATAGATAACTAGGGTTAAATAGTGCTGTAGGACTCTCAGATTCCTTTAGATGTTACCGCCAGTGGTCGGGAAAATGCTAGGAGGCAGTTATTCAGATAGTTTTGGGCGACCCGTATAAAGCCTAAGAGCTCTCAGACGGAAGTCCCACATCAGAAACCCCCATAACAAAGGACTGGAAATATTATACTTCTGGTTGTTGCATAGGTAAATATTGTTATAATATTCTCTTATGACGTGGAACTCTGGTGGTCGCAAACGGAAACAACTTGACTTCGCCTTTATCCCCTCTCTTAATGAGTAACGTAACTGCTGAGCTAATAAGAATTGCTATTTTACAGCCTAAAATTATAGGTTTGTTTGTGCATTTGTTGAATTTTCGCGCAAAGCTACTCAGGGTTATCTGTAGTAGCTTGCCCTAATTTCTAAGAGACAGACTAAAGGCAGGCATTTAGTCAACAACGCCCACCACTAACTCTTGAGCTACTATTTACCAACGAATAGTGGGATTGACCGTTACATTATAACATCGAGCATGTTCGATGACGGGTTTTGATCCCACGAATTGCATCTTACGAGTCAACTTCCGTAATCAACAAACCATAACAGCCAAATTAAAAGTGTCTGTAGAGATAAAATTGATCAAGTCTTAATGATTTTTGTGGTTTGCTTTTATACAAACCTATCAACGGTTAAACTCATAAATATTTAAGTTCATTAATAAACTCAAGGAACGTTGTACGAAGGTAAAATTTTGTCTTTGAATACAAACCTTAGCGATAAAATACCTATAATTATTTTAAATTAGATAGAATACGTTGTTCAAACTTTCCGACCAAAGCTTACTTTGCAGATATACAAACCTTTTAACAACACAAATAATAAACAACAATTTTTAAAATAATACATTTATTCAACAAGATATATTTTGTACAAGTATTCTATGAAAAGTACTTGCGTAAAATCACGGTCGAATTATTATTTTTTCACACTAGCCAGATGTTTAAAGAAATCCTGAGCTCATTAGAGAGCTACGTGGGTAGATTTACACGTACAAAAATGTTTTTAAGACTATTTTATTATAACAAAAATAAATATTCCCTTCTGAATTTCTCTCTATACATATAATAAGCAAACGTAAATACATATATAGTTTGTTTTGAAAATAACTGTCTTAAAAATTGCTACATGACAACCTACGTAAGAGTTTTTTTCTTCTTCTAAACACTGTTCTTTAATTTAAACTGTATTTTTGTATTCGTATTGCTTATTGGTATATACATTTTTAAGTGAAAAGACAAAAAATAGAGAAGAAAAAGTAAGAAAGTTGTGTAATTATTCCTAAAATAATAAGATTTTAATAAAGACGTGCGAACTTTCATCTGGACTCAAAATAACGGTGTATTAAGTGTGTGGAGATTGAGGGAAGTAGTTAGGTGGATTGTGCGACGTTTTGCTTCTAGTGGAGAAGAGAGTTTTTTTTTTGTTGTTTTTTTTTTGGTTCATTGTACCGTATTCCTGTCAGAATAGCTTGTTTCTGTATTATATTTTCTCGAAAAAGTTTCATTTTGTTGAAAGATTCGGTTCGGGGAAAAAGTTTTGAGACATGTTCATTTTCTTCAAATATAGGTTTGGGTTGGGGACTAGGACTTTTCTGGTCGTCATCATATATAATCATCACTAATGAAGGTTCTTTCTTCACTGTCTGCTGCTTTAATGTAGGTAGTATCTGTGCGATTAGTCCATAGGGATGAGAGAATAGGCTTGCAATCTCTTGCTCAGGATCATTATATTGTATTGACATCGAGTATGGCTTTTCTGCAGGTATTGGTTCATGCATGGGCTCTTCGCTGTATTCGTTTGGAAGTTGGACCGTGATTCGTTCATTTTCCTGTTCCTGTAGCAGAGGAAGTGGAGCATATCTTAGTTGGAGTGAATGAGACGGAAGAATCTGTTGACGAGTGAAATGAGGACTCGAGGCCATGGGAACAAACAGAGCTTCACTTTGAATTGCAGGTTCATAAAAATAAGGAGCAGGAGTTGACGTAAACTCGGCCATTTCAGTGAGTGGGAAGTACTGAGAACTAATAGGTATTGGTGGTTTTATGAATTGTGGATTTTGCTGTGGTATACTTAGAGGTTGTCTTGGAATATAAATGGGTTCTTCCATATCAGTTTCCATTGGTGAATAATCATAGATGAATTGAGATAGAGAGAGAGGACTGGGTGCAGAGACTGCAAAGGAAGATGGATGAATTAAGGGCATTGGAGCTTGAGGATGGATAGGAACTGGCATTGGAACATGAAAGGAATGTAATAGAATCATAACTCGTTCTAAAGGACCAATTGATGAAACAGTATATGGATTAGGTGATGGCAAGGGAGCCACTGTAAATGGCTGGGGAGCCAACAGATGAGGTAGAGGATGAGTCATTAGCATCCTGGAAGGCTTTGGGATCGAAGGAGCTATAAAATCATTTGGAGTCATAAGAAACTGAGGAACTGGATGTGTGGCCAGAGATGCTTGAGGATAAGAGAAAGAAAACGGTCTGCCTGTTGTTCTTGAACGTGGCGACAGCATTGGATAGTGAAGTAAAGGTTTTTGATTATAGTGGAAAGGTGTAGGCCTTTCGTCGTATTCGCTTGGAAGCGGGACAATGATTGGTTCATTTTCCTGTTCTTTCAGAAAATTAAGTGAAGTATATTCTGGTTGAAGAGAGTGAGGTGGCAACTGCGCATTTACTTTTATATTGTGGCCACTGTTAACAACTTGAGCTATATAATCACTACCATCAAAATGTCCATGCATACGGCCATCTTCGATGCCATTACCAAGGATTAACGCTTTTTTTAACAAAAGCGAAGCAGTTGGCTCTGTAATTTCAGGCTGTTCTAAAGCTCGAGGAGTAGTATGATGTCTTGATGAATTTTTGATATATGGCTGTTGAAGTTTTGGGCTGGATTTTAGGTAAAATGAAGGCAATTGTAATGATGCAGATTTTTCTTTCGCAACTGATTTGGGGATTTGAAAAAAAGGAAATGATTGAGGTCGAGAATCTAATATATTTCTTATATTTTCTTCCTTTGGCTGTTTATCTTTGAAGAAATCAGTTTTATTCTTTGCTCTCCACAGAATTGGTAGTTTTTGAATGATTGTCTTTATAGTCTGAATTATGCCAGTGATCATTGTTTCTTTTTCATTATTTCTATTCAATGAAGTCTCCTTTTCTGAGGGGAGGAATAGAAGTAGAGTCTCGTCAATTTTATCTTTATCCTGTAATTTGCTAAGCACTGATTTTTTTGCGGGTTCTACGTCCTCATCATCTTCTGGTGTTTTCTCTTCTATTGGATAAGCTACCATATAGCTTGAGCTTTGAGACTCTGGAGCAAACGAAGATATAAACGCGGGCTCACTGGCACTTTCAACCTGCCAACAAAATTTTCATAATTAAGCTTCATTCATACTTACTATTTTATAGATAACAAGTCGGTTTAAAAAGTTTCATTTATACCTTTTATTTGATAGATAAGTTGATTTTAAAATTTCTTTTCAATAAAGTTGTACTAGTTGCAAACATAACATTCAAAATTTAATTATTCAAAGTAATTTACGCTCCTAGACTTTCTATCAGTATTCTGATACTACGTGTGTGATAATTTAGTGGGAAAAGATTAAAAATCAGCTTTATAATTCTTTCACTACATTTTTCCTCTGTACGTGAAAACTTAACAATTTACGAACTGTAGTATATCCGTTAAACAGATATTGTTATAAATCATAAGTTACACCATGTGGACGTCACAGTTTAGTCGACTGTAAATAATAGAATATTTCTTTGTACAATACACAACTTCATATACTATTCAGTAACTTTCGTGCTTAAACATTACATATCTAAGATAACAAAGTGTATTATGTAGATATTTTCAAGTGCCTAAATAAATATAACAGATACTAAAGTATCTATACTTCAGTCCAATGACTAAGTCTTAATCACGTGGCATCATTTTTGTATTCGTGCTGCTTATTTATATGTAAATTTTAAAATGAAGAACAAACAATACAGACGAAAAAACCAATAAAAATTATGTAATTATCCGAACAAGGATGAGATTCTTGTGAGTAAATGCGAACTTTTCCAGGGTGCCTAACTTCACTTTTTATAAATCAAGTGAATCACACACTATTTCAAGCTCATAGAAATATTATGTCATGTTTTAAGCAACCTTCTGTAACTACTTATGTTTCAAGGAAGGTACGCTTTTATTTATTTATTTTTTTGATGAAGGGCGAGTGAAATGAATAAATAAATATATTTGTATTAATGTTCTTTAATAGTAATAAAACTTCATTATAGTTTATGAAATGCCGGATTAGCTCACATACATATATTCGGATCACTATTTCACTTAGAGTTTATATTTTTCATTTGTGTAACATTATGTGTAAATGAATAATAAATTTATCACGGGATTTCCTATAGGTAAGACACGTTATTATTCAGAAAATGAAAATAAATTCTCAGTAAATGGAAATAAAGACTTTTTTTTATCAAACCTTACAGAAAGATCTAGAAGCAGAGACTCGTAAACACTTATCATCATGGATTTTCTTTTCCAACTAAGTCAAGTAAAAACACACTAAAGTATAGCTTGCATTATAGTCTGACCAGAAAAGAAAAGAAAGAATCAGTTATCATTTTAGTCACCTACCAGAAAATCCTCTGCCTCATTTTCACTTGCAGAAGTCAGGACTGCAGCTCCTAGAACAGAAACGTGTAACGGATTAACGTCATACGTTTATTTTCACACTTTTGTTGTCTCTCCAAGATATAGTTTATGTTGAGAGAAAAACGAGAGGTTTGTTAGGGTATTTTGTGATGCTATGGTTTCAGTTGAAAGACCCTGGTAAAAAAAAACACACACACAAAAAAAAAACGTACACGAGTGGAAAAAATTACGTTTGAGTCGAAAGCTGTTCTGTTACATTTCAGTTTATGTAATAAATACTAAATTCAAATATTTCTAAAACTGGTCCTACTGAATAACGCTCGGTAACTTTAACTTGCGAAGTTATTTGAAATTAAACAACATTTATCTTCATTTAATGCATAACTTATAATTATGTTCTATTCACAAACTATTAGCGATGAACGGTCTGCGAACCCACGAAGCAGGAATAAAAAAAACAGGCAGATAGGAAATCAAAGAGGAAAAAAAAGTTCATTCATTGCTTATTTAAAAATCTTATTATAAACATTCTTGTTTTCTGTATTTTATATATATTTGAAAATAACCTAATATCTCTTGTACAGGTTATGTATAATATTGTTTTAAGATACCAGCACAGAGTTGCAAACAGAAACGTCATACAATGTAGGAACTTCGAGAAATATACCTTCCCATGATTTTTAATAAATAGAGACATATACTCTCTGTATAAGTTTTACAAAAATATAAGATAAGATACGTACTAAACTCACAGTTTGTTAAAACTATTTTCCTTCCCTCAACATTGTAATTTACGTTGAACGTATCGCCTGAGAAGATCTTACTAAGGGAAAAACTTTGAACAGCCTCGAACGCAACGAAAGAGATTAAAAATTGGTGTACAAATTGGAGCTACTCATCTTATTAGAAATATAATGTTTCATTGCGCAACACTGTCAATATAATTGGGTAGATGAGAATTACTTGTTTGTAACTAAGTACAAAGCTGCACAATGGGCTATTTGTGCTCTGACCACCACGGGTATCGAAACCCGGATTCTAACGTTGTAAGTCCGCAGACATACAGCTGTGCCACTGGGGGGGGGGGGGCAGATGAGCCACGGGCATCGAAACCTGGATTCTAGTGTTGTAAGTCCGCAGACATACAGCTGTGCCACTGGGGGGAAGATGGGAGCTAAATGACTCGAAACTGCATGGTTTTGTTATTCAGTGTTTAAAATTATTATCTGAAGTAGATAGTCACTAAATAAATGTTCTTTCAGGTTGTAACCTGTTTTATAAAAAAACGGGTTGTAACGGGTTGTATAGCTGTTTTTTATATTCGAATTATCGATGGTAAATCTTAAATGATTGTTTATTTTGAGTTAAAGTTTATACAGCAAAACTAAACAGAATGTATGTCTTAACGTATTTTATCTTTGAGTTACATCCCACAAAAATGGAAATATCACTAAGACAAAATTAAATCACAATGCTAAATATACAAATTAAGAAAATGTTTCATTAATATAACAGCTGCAAAATTATCGAAATGTTGTAATAAAACGGCAGATTTTTGTATTTTAAATCAAAATTATTCAAAATTGAGAATACCGAATAGTTACTATAAAAAAACTTGACAATACGTCATTGCCTTTGCAAACAAAAACTGAAGACTTTTCATTAAAACAGTTTAAGTTTGGTTAAAATGCACATTTGTTCATCTCTATCAACTAACACCAATCAGATTTAACTTGGTGATTACTTTGTTAACGTCACACATAGTAATCATAACGTTTTTAAAGTATTCGTTTTAAAACATTCCATCACGCGATATTTAGGCTTTTCTGTCAAAAAGACTGACTTAATCCTATCTAAATATAATAATCCTTCCATACTTTTATTAGTAAGTATTACAATTTAACAATACTATTGGTAACGTCTACTTACTAGTAACTATTAGATTCTATTATACTGTATTGGGTTGATATGTGTACTCACCTGTAAGAAACAGATTTTGACTCCAATGGATTAACCAAATTTTACTTACCGTATTTTTCGAAATATGAGACACACCTGTGTATAAGACGCACCCTTATTTTGAAGACAAAGTGTTTTTGGGGGAAAAAAAGTTACAGTCGCATTTGAAAGATTTTTATTGAACAAAAATTAAATTTGATACTTTAAAAATTAGTATATATTGTTCTAAACACAAAAGAGCTCAAAACATCAAAATAAGAAAATACCGTAAATCAACAAAAGGTTTCCTGTTATTTAGTTTGGTCCAAAACCTACAAAATCTTCATTGCTTTCACTGTGATTTATTTTTTTATTATTTAGGGTGCATTATAAATAGTTATGTTTTTAAAAGAAAAAACTACTATTGTTATAAATAACACATTCAATTGAACTAAACTATGCATGTATATTTAGATATATTTACACATGGCTTGTGTATATCGTATATATATATATATATATATTATTCATAACTTCGGTGTACAGGACGCAAGCAGATTTTGACATCAAATTTTGGGGTAAAAAAGTGCGTCTTATACACCGAAAAATACGGTGTATTTAAAAACGGAGTACGAATATATATATATGCTATCATTACATACTCATTAATAAATGTATTTACTCTCCTGTAAGAAACAATTGTTGACACTGTTATGTTAATAAGGTATACTCATCAGTATATATCAAATTTTTACACTTTGTCTTAATAACTTATAATTTGCTAAAGAAAAAAGATTTTGACACTACTATGTTCACAGTACACATTCGTTAGTAATAACAGATTTTTTTACTGTTTTTGTTAGCAACGTACGATCACTTACAATAACTAGACTTTGAGCTTATATGATAAAATAAGTAAGAGCATTGAACGGTTAAAAATGGACAGTAATTTAATGTATAAAGTTAAAAGTAAAATATACAGTTAAAAACTCTATATAATTAGAAACTACATGTTTCACCTTCTTCAGAAGACAAGAAAAAAGGTTTTCTTCTGATCTCCTGAAGATGGTGGAACTTTTTTCCACCGAAACATGTATAGTTTTTAATTTCATATTTTACTTTTAACTTTATACATTAATTTACTGTCCATTTTTAACCGTTGAACGTTCTTATTTATTTTATGTGCTCAAGAATGGTTATAGAAGAGATTGAACGTACACTTACCTATAATAATCAGACTTTAACCATACTGTGTTGTTAACAATGTCTTACCCTCTATAACCATCAAGGACTGCTTTAACGTAATTAAGTTACTAATAAAAATTATACTTTGAAACGGCTGTAATAACAATGTTTATTCATAACTGATAAACTTAGTTTTTTTTGTGATTACTACTATTTAGCAATAGAAATCATATTTTGGAAGTAATATCTTAAGAACGTCTACTCACCTATAAAAACTTTCTTTAACGTTACTGTGACGATAAAGTGTATTCACAACTAACATACAGAGTGTTTTTGGTTATTAATGTGTTAACCATCTATATTGTTTTTGATATTCACTGTTTTAACAAGGTCTATTCAATAATGTTCATCAGAGTTTGAAACTTCTGCAGGATCTTCTTGCAAAAAAAAAAAAATTTCTTTTGATTAATGTGCAACAATATTTACTTTCCAGTTATAATTAGATATAACCTTATTAAAACCTACTCACCAATTATGATTATACTCTGAAACCTTTGATAACAATATTGACATATATTTTTTAACGGTGTTAAACCTACACAACAATTATAAATATACTCTGAAACCTTTGTTAACAATATTGAGATGTATTTTTTAACGGTGTTAAAACCTACTCAACAGTTATAACTATACTCTGAAACCTTTGTTAACAATATTGACATGTATTTTTTAACGGCGTTAAAACCTACTCAACAATTATAACTATACTCTGAAACCTTTGTTAACAATATTGACATGTATTTTTTAACGGCGTTAAAACCTACTCAACAGTTATAACTATACTTTGAAACCTTTTGTTAACAATACTGAGATATAGTTTTTAATATTTTTGTCTACTCACCAACAAGACAGAAACAGCAGAAAGCCGAAACAGGCTTCATCTTCTCCAAAACAAATATTTGGGTGTGTGTTCTAGAAATAATAATACGCGTTAACTTCATGAAAGCAACAAAAATCAAACCTGGCTTCCCCACACACTTAAAAATTTGAATATAGTTTACTTATGTTCTGTTTACTACGTACACATGTACAAATATTTAAATCTTTAATGTAAGTTAGTAGTTTGATATCGGACAACGACTCCGGATTCTTGTTAGCTGACGTGTAAGAGAACATATGAGCCATTTTTATTCTCAAGCATTTTTATAAGTTAAGACTGTAACTGATTTAAAAATACTCGAGCGTTTTACAAATGCGTTTGACTTTAAAGAGAATGTGTTAAAAGGATAATAACTGAGAAATCTCAATATTTAGGCCTAGTTTTAAGGTGACATGTCTATTTTACCGTGAATTTTTCACTTAGCATTAGTAGAAATACATCTGGTTATGTGTTATACTTTTTGTTCAAAAATCGGTAATCTAGTTGTTGTTGCTAGTTGGTATTTTAAATTCTGCTTAAAATCGACTGTTTATTTATCTAGCGGGGTTTATTGGAATGAAAAACCCGCTGTGTCAGCTGTCTGGCGTGAGAGTGTGCGCATGCGTGTTAATATAGTATATCAAATATAATGATTTATAAACGTATATATTCATATAAGCTGTCCCAACATTTCTGGCAATGACCCGTTTTTTTTTGTTTTTTTTTTGGAACCCAATATGCAACTCGCTTAACTTCATGCTCCTGGATAAGGATTTGTTCGAATCCCATCACAGACTATTGCCACCTTTGTTTGCTGGTGAAGTAGTGGGTGGTTTTGCCACCTTTGTTTGCTGGTGAAGTAGTGGGTGGTTCTGTCTTCATATTTGAATTGACATTGTATTTTTATTATGATACTATCTTTCAACAATACGCAAATTGTATGATTTTATTAAACTTTGTTTTGTTCTTCAATAACAAACACGCAATGTTATATTAACAGACATGGAGTGTGTCAAACTGAAATCAGGAAGTGTAGGTATTCAATGAACCGAAGAGGAATATGCTGACCTCTGGTGGTCTGAACAAATATAATGAGCAATCAATGATGAATCTGTAAAGATTAGGATAATTGTATTTTGCTTATAGCTACTGACCTAATAGTAAAAATTCCAGTTGATTCTTATCTTTGGACACAACTTTATAAACGTAGAATTTTATAGAGCAAGTCCTACTACGATGTGCAGGTTACGACTACGTTTGTTTGTTTGTAATTAAGCACAAGGCTACACAATGGGCTATCTGTGCTCTGCCCACCACGGGCATCGAAACTCGGATTCTAGCGTTGTAAGTCCGCAGAAATACCACTGTGCCACTGGGTATTACGTATCTTTTGATTCTGGAAATTGCTGGATTTAAACAAGTGTGAAGGCAACATTTTTGCTACTTCTAGGAATATTATTTTGCTTCCGAAAAGTATTACTTTGGGGAAAGTCTGATGATATTTCGCCCACTTATCGTATATTTTAATGTTCCTGGACACTGTTTGATAATTTTTAATTTTTTTGGAAAACCAAATATGACGTTTCGTAACATACCTTCTTTGCCAGCTGAACAATTTTGCTTATGGGACAAATCTAAAGATTACGTTTTGGAAATTTTCATGTGTATATTCTTCGGTTCTTGTACAGTACTGACTTATTAAGAAATTTATAATAATGTTTCGACCACTTCTGCTTAATGAACAGTGTAGCTTTGGTTTGTTTGTTTGTTTTTAATTATGCACAAAGCTACACAAGGGCTATCTGTGCTCTGCCCACCACGGGTATCGAAACCCGGATTCTAGCGTTGTAAGTCCGCAGACATACCGCTTTACCACTGGGGGGCGTGTAGCTTTGGAAAAGTTTAACACGATCTATAAGCCACTTTTCTTTTCTTCCTTTAGATCTCGAACAAAGATGTCTAAAATATCTGAACACTACGCTACAGATACGTTTTTTTTTCTAGTTTCTTTGAGTCTGACCAATTTCGAGAGATAATTTTCTGATAACTTATATTTGATCTCTCTAAAAACTTTAATTATTTGATCCTACAAAAATAGTATAAAGTATACGCACATATTATTTTATTATCTTTTTGATTTTTTGAAATTCGTTATTTACCACTGGCCTTATGCCTTGGAAAACTTGGGACTATATCTAAACTCCAAAATAATGATAAGCTTTTATTCTCATTTGAAGATGTTAACACTGTGCGCATGCGTTTAACTTTAATATGTGAGTATCGTATGTCTCCGTTTGAAATTCGTTGAAATTAATAATGCTATATTTTGTTTCATATATTTTATACGTAAATAACTTGTGAAATATGCGACATTTAGAATTCGTGTGAATTGTGTGATTTTTAAACACACGTGACAACCGCAGTGAATGTTACAGAACATTTAGAGAAGGCGCAAGCTGTCTAGTAATGTTTGATGTAATATATTGTTACGACA